TTCTGAATTACACTTACTCATGACGTATTGTCTGCACAGATCAGAACATCTGATTCATCACATTTCTCCACAAATAACTCAATTTTAAGTTTCAACCACGGATGTCAATCTGAGAGCCCTGAATTACATAATGCCCTAATAAATCATCATCTTAGGCTGTTTATTTGTTACCTTATGCATAAACATTCAAGTGCCAGAGCTTCAGAGTATCAGTCCAATCCTCCTTCCAGCATAAATCACAAACTACTTTTGCTCTATGGCTCAGATATATCGCCTGTCTAATTTTGTTTTTTCGTGGAAGAAAGAAAATAATTCAACATTTGGTAAATTATGTCAACATTTTTAATTATGGGTAACTAGTCCTTCCAAAACACTACTGGAGGAGCAATATGACATATGCAGGTCTAAGGCCAATGCATAAAACACATTCTGCATGCTGCACATGAACTCTCTGCCTGAGCTGTCCCTCCAGATTCTGATGAGGTCTCCCAGGAAACAAAGGAAGAAATCCTCATTGGGAGTGGAAGGGAAAAGGACCACAAGTAAGCCTCTAATAAGTTGGGCTAATAGAAGTAGAGAAACTAAAGTCTCAGTGCTGAAAAGAGCAAAACCACCAATGGCATACCAGTAATTAGTACTGATATTTGAAAGATGATTGGAATTGGAAAACTGGATTTGGAAAGGCTTTAAAAAATGTTGATGGAAAACACTTTTGTCCACTCTGCCATATGTTTGCAAGCCAAATCTGACTCATTGCAAAACAGAAACATTCAGAAACAACTAGGGAATATTGATTCAGACAGACAAGACATGTGCTAACAATTTTGCCCATGCAATAGAAGGGGCCAAATTAACTGTCTGTTAAGTTTATGAACCATGAATGAATGCCTATTTCATGAAGTAAGCCTTCAGGAGGACGTGCCAAAGACAGTGAAATACTGCAGACATGCTATAGCAACTTGTTTTTATATTTTTTTCCCAATTTACATGCAAAGCGAGATATATTTTTATTAACCATTTGCCACCAGGGACTACCTTAAACGACTCATCCATCTTCTGCGCTTGGACACATATTTTGGTGAACTGAAAAAGGAAGGGTGTTTGTTTGTTTCTGCATGTGTAGATGATCTACTGTGCAAAACATATGGCCATTTAGTTTCTACAATGCAAAAATCATGAACAGTACCACATCATAACATTTATATTTATAAAAAGTATTTGATACATTTTAGAGAGCCAAATTTCCACGTGATCTGATGTACAAGAGCTCATCTCTATATGTGACCCTGGACCATAAAACCAGTCATAAGGGTACATTTTTTCAAAATTGAGATTTATACATCATCTGAAAGCTATGTATTGGAATAATACAACGCATAAGCGTTGCATTGATGTGTGGTTTGTTAGGATTGGACAATATTTGACCAAGATACAACTATTTGAAAATCTGGAATCTGAGGGTGCAAAAAAATCAAAATATTGAGGAAAATCACCTTTAAAGTTGTCCAAATGAAGTTCTGCATAATGCATAATATTACTAATCAAAAATGAAGTTTTGATATATTTACGGTAGGAAATTTACAAAATATCTTCATGGAACATGATCTTTACTTAATATCCTAATGATTTTTGGCATAAAAGAAAAATCAATAATTTTGACCCACACAATGTATTTTTGGCTATTGCTACAAATATACCCCAGTGACTTAAGACTGGTTTTGTGCTCCAGGGTCACATATAATAAGTAGATTATATATAATCTCTAATTTATTATATGATCCCCCCTAAAACTTTAAAATTGGAAAACTTACAGGCTTTGGAAAACAAGAAATTGATGACTCAGGAGAGAAGCGCACATGGTGGTGGCGTCTCTGGACTGCCTTGGAAATGTCAATGAGCCATGTGTCTTTCATTTTATCAGATTTGCTAATAGCATGAAGGCAAGAGAATAACATGCACGCACTGTGAGCTAAATGAAACTGTCAGCAATCTTTCTACCATTGCTCCCTTGGACTCCTTTTCTATCTCTATTCTGAATATCCTTTTGGGAATCAATACAGTCTGTCTATCTATCTATCTCTGACTTTCTCAAATGCAATATCTTAGTTTTCGGTGTCATTTTCCCCTCCTCTCTCTCTCTCTGTCTTAACTAAACACAGCTATCAGCAGGCAAACAGATGAATGGTTCCTGACAACGCTGCAAACCCAAACAACAGCAGAGACTGCTGCTAAACACCAGACAGATGACTATATCTCCTCATATTTACAGAAAAAAGACTTGTCATCACAAGTGCAGGAGGGCAAAATAAAGATGGTCACACTCCCCAGAGAAAGTGAGGCAGAACCAAAGAGAAAAACACAAAGAGCACCCGTTCAGCACATTGAAAGTCTCCAATGCTGGAATTACGTCAAGTGTCTAGTGTCGTCCTCCAGGACTGGAGTCTACTGTAGGTACTGGAAAAATGATGGATTGTTTTTCCTTTGTTTTGAGTCTATTCTACACATCACTTAAAGCACAGGAAATATTTGCCTCTCTCCAAAGGTTGGGCTATAATGAAAGACATGTAGAATGCCCATTATCAATAAACCTCTGTTTATACATACAGCAATTTCTTGAAGCATCGTGATATGCTGATATGTTTCTTCCTCTTATTTGTTCATTTAATTAAACTGATATCGAACATGGATTCTGCATGCTCCTATTTCAACAGCAGATAAATAATTTAAAACTGTACATACGTCTGTGCTGGACTGGCTTTATAATATTTTCATGTAGGCGAATTTATGGAAAAACATCCGACTTCAGCAGTTATGTCACAGGTTGAAGTCAATTTCAAGAAGAGTTCCCATAAACAGTCTCACATTACTACACTTCCACAATACAGAAAGCTTGTAACATGTCACCAGTTTCTTCTGGTGTCATCTTTCCCACATGGCACTGTGATCAATCTATATTGAACAATCCCTAAATGCCAAAGTAACTCTGTTTTGAATGGAAATCTGGAGTGGACATGAAATAGGCAGAAATCTTCAAGAATGGCTGTGCTTCTGTTAAAATCCTAATGCAGCCTCTCAGCAAAGCTGGCAAATCACCATATATGCAACTGTATTACAATGCTTGTTGATCTCTGTGCATCTACTCCGTGTCTGTCGGTTGCGGTGTTATTTTAGCATAATTGATATGCCATTACAGTTTTTGTTAATATTTTTGACTTTATTTTTTCATTTTCTGTTTTCATGTCAAGTCACCTTTATTTGTATAGCGCTTTATACAATACTGGTTGTGTCAAAGCAGCTTTACAGTGTTAAACAGTAACACAAAAAAATATATTTTTTTAATGTCTATATAGTTTTTATTAACTTTCAGTTTAAGATTTTAAAAATATATTTTATTTAACTTAAAGGCACAATATGTGAGATTTTTTTATCAAAATATCCAAAAACCACTAGAACAGTGTTATATATTTTGCTGACTTATTACATATTGTGCCTTTAATGATATTTGTATATGGATTTAGTTTCAGTAAACAATAATAACCAAGGTTTATTGCTCGGCTCAATTGAGGTTACAGCTCTCCTCACTGCAGAACATCTGACATAGCAGCCAGGACCTGCATAATTCACACAGCTACTGCTTAAGGACCTTAAGTAATTAAAAGAAGCAACAAGACCACAGTCCACACAGACGTACATCTCCAATACACACAAACATGATCAAATGCAGATAATGCATGCCAATTCCATGCCTCTAAAAATGACGTTTTTGTTTGCATTTTTCTAGATCTTTTGGGAAAGCACAGTGCATGTGGTTTCAATAGCGTTGTAAAACTTTCAGATACAAATTATTATTATTAATTATAGTTATAACATGAGATTCCCAAAGCAAAGAAAATAATCACAAATTATATCTGTAATATTTATTTTAATTTGCATCTCCTACAGATCAATAAGATTAAATGAAGAATTTCACTTATGAAACTGATGCTTCTCACATTTGTCTTCTGAAAAAAACACATGTAGGCCTAACTCTTCTAGAGTTTCGAAAGACATTCACCAATGTCTTAAAGTGTGCACAGAGCTTTGAAAGTCTGCAATTACAAGTCAGATTACAATTCTCAAAAACTTCATCAAATTGATGCCATACACGTTTTTCAAACTCTTACTGTACGTCAACAATTTTAGGAAAAACATCTGAGACAAAGTTGCTACTTAAACTAAACAAATTATGAAAGATCTGAGCAATATTTTTTCTCATTCCTAAAACTTTTGCCATTAGTATAAGGCAAATGAAGCCGAGCACAGAAGCGTGACCTGAAAGCACATCATACTTCAACAGATATTAAAAAGCAGGTTTTATTCAAGGCGCTTGCATCTTGTGTAAACAGCTCATGAGTTGTTTTGGCAGCTTTGAAAATGAGAGATGTCTCCTCCAGATACAATTCGCCAAACTACCATCACACAGACAAGCGCGCGTTTGTTCAGAGCGCATATACGCGCTGCTCGCGCTCGTTCGTTTGATAGTTTTCATTGTATCGCTTTTAAGATTCAGCAAGCCCAGGTAAACACAGTCAAACTTTAAATTGTGCTTGACCCAGCTGTATACTAACAAGGACTTGCAGACAGTGAACTTCTGTTTGCTAGGTGCGTGCAGGTGCATAGTGCACTAGGCATAAGTGCGTTTCGGCATCAAATGTCATTCTGGCTCACTTTACATGCAGGATGGTTTGGTAAACACTGAACCTAAACCTCTCGATACACAGCAGATGTGTTCTGTGTGACGATGAAAGCTGGTCGTTATGCATCTACCTGCTGTCCAAACACCCACCTATCAGCACATGACGCTTCATAACCTGTTTCTCAACCCGAAATGAATTCTCAGCGCATCTACGCACCTCATGATATGACATGACAGGATAAACAACTCAACGTTCAGTCTTTTGACTTTTCGGGACAATTACATCAGACATCGGGGGAAGGGTTGGGGGTGGGGGGGTACTCACGCTGCTATTTTCACCCGTCCAGTGGACCATTGCCTGGTTGTGGGTGGCATCCCCTTTAAGGACGAAAGAGCTGCTGAGTAGAGACACTTTCTCCGGAGTCGATGCCCTCCGGACTCGGGGAACTCCCGTGGCCGGTCCGCCCGGGTCCCCGCTGTAATCTCCGCGGCTGTGCGCTGAGATAAGCGTTTCATCTCTGCCAATGACATGCCCACCGCGGCTGTCAAGCTCTCGGTCCCGTGCGTTTCTCTGGTTTATAACGCCGGTGTGACATGAAATCGGTCCGAACAGTGACATCCACGCGCAAGCGAAAAACACAGCTGGGTACAGGTGCGCCAAAACTGCCATGATGAGCGCCTTCATTTAACACTGTCAAAGCGAGTGCGATGCAAGCGAAAGATGGGAAGCTCTAATGTAAGAGAGAGGGAGAGTGAGAGGGGAAGAGGGTGGGGAAGCAGAGCTACAAACAGAGCGTGCTCATGTGCTGTATAGTAGACAGCTGAGACCGAGGAGAAGAACTGCTGTATTCGCCTGCCACCTATTGGCGAACTTAGTCAAGTGTTTGATTTGTACGTGTAATTATTTTAGAAAGCTATTTGTACTAATAACACACGTCTAATAACGCAAAAAAAAGTAACTAATTGAAGACTAGATTTTGAAGTACTGTTACATTAAATGAAACTTTTAATTTATAGACTAGTTTTCAACTTTGTTTTTTTGTGGGTCAACTACATATGAAAGCACATACTGTCTTGAACATTTTTCTTGGCTAGTGTAAATAATCACACGACCATATCTGGAAGCATGTAAAGCAACTACAGATAATAGCTAAATGCCCTCCGTATTATTATGGTTGCCATTATGGTTACATAAATCATGCTTGCAATGCATGTTAACAAATAAAATAAATATATAAATAAATACTATTACATTAAAAGAAGCCAAGTCAAAGGAAATAAGCATTTATTCTTGGATTATCATTCTCTTTTCACCACAATTGCCATCAAACAATTTTGAATTTGTAGTTTCCCAAAGGTTACAATTGTGACCAGAAATAAAACACATATGTTCAATAACTTCTTTAACGAAGGCATGCTATTGTTTCATGTAGCCAAGGAGTAGAATAATGGGATTAAGTAAGTTATTTAGTTTTCTGAATAGACAATAATTCCTTTAACAACTATGCATTTAAATATTATTATATCTGCATGTGCTCAAACTTTTAATTCTTTCTCCCCAACTGAAGACCATACAACATTAACACATTTTGCAAATTTATATCATTCACTTATATATAAACAGGCCAACTCAATTCAAATCAAAATCAAATCAATAATTCAGAAGATGACACAGGAAATTAGATGTACTGTACATCTAAGTATTTCAAGTCACTGGTTACATCATTCTAGTGAGCTGATTTGGCTGTCCAAATATTCTAGTGATAACAACATTTTCTTTTTTTAAATCCTCACTCAAACAAACAGCACCCCATAAGAGTGTTGAGCCTGCAGTTGATTTAACAGCTTTAGGTCACATTATCTTAGAGAAACCATTCTAATACTTGTTGTAATCTTTGTTGAATTTATTATCCCAATCTTCAAGCAGAAAAAAAACTGGATGAATATTCTGAATGACACCAGTCCACAATCTGACATGTGATGCAGCCTGGAACTAAATCACACCATGTTGGTTTGTCTGGCCAGAGGTGTTTGGGTTCCTTGCCACCATGGGTGTACATTTCATCTAACAGTTCGGGTGGACAATAAACATACAATTTCTCAAGAGCAATTTTTGATGGGGACACAAAGATGTTTTGCCTTAATTAAGGCAAAATCACCTTAATATGGGGACTTTTTGTACTTTTTGTCTCGCATATTTCACATAGTATTTTAGGTTTCATCTGGGACAGAGGACATCTCTTACTTAGATATTCAAATGCAGCAAGCCTGATATCCAGATATTCAACTGCAGCAGCACTGATCTGCCACTTAACATCATATTGAGCAAAACCCAACACAATGATAAATCTACAAGATTAGCCTAATATCAGTTCACACACAGGCTTATTGCCGTGTTAGTTGTGGGAGACTTACTATGCAACAAGCTACCAAACAAGCTAGGTAACAACCCTCAGATGGGGTAGCGTCTGACCCCCCCACAATTTCCGCATATGCTCGCCACTGCCACCTTTGGCTTGCTTAGTTGGGGACATTAATATTCAGCAATATTATTAAATTGACTGAAGAGACATAATTGGATGAGAACTGGACTGAGCTTTTTTCAGAATTCTTTTATAAATAAAAACATTAAAATAACAGTATTTATTTGAAATAGAAATCTAACATTATAAATTGTAATTTTATTGCATCCTTGCTAAATAAAAGTATTAAAATCTTTCAAAAAAAAAAATCTTACTGTCCAAACCTTTGAACTTTGGACAGTAAAATTATGCAACACAGGATTGCTCACTGTTAAGTAGAGAGGGGAAACTGCTGCTCTCTCCTCTCTCTCACTCTCTATACATATACTGTATATCAAGGTTTGTTTGTGTGTGTGTGTGTGTGTGTGTGTGTGTGTGTGTGTGTGTGTGTGTGTGTGTGTGTGTGTGTGTGTGTGTGTGTGTGTGTGTGTGTGTGTGTGTGTGTGTGTGTGTGTGTGTGTGTGTGTGTGTGTGTGTGTGTGTGTGTGTGTGTGTGTGTGTGTGTGTGTGTGTGTGTGTGTATATAATATCTTACCTCAAATTCAGAAAGAGTGCTAGAACACAAAACACAAGAATACAAGTCAGCAGACACAAGTCTACCAACTACCAACCCAAAGTCTAGCAAAAAAGTTGAAACTTTGACATACTTACAAATAGGAATTTCAAAATAATATATGCATATCCAGAAAGCATGCAGGAACGTGGCTAAAATCCATTTACATAGGAAAAAATTATAAAACACTGGTACAGTGCTTACCATTCCTATTTAATGACAACATTTTGACCTAGAAAGGGCCATCAGGTCAAACGTGAGGCGTAACGAAGACCATTCTGGGTTGAAATGTTTGTGGAAAAAAATCCTTATGCAAGCAGGAGCTGTTTGTAAGCCTAAATCAGGACACAAATTAGGATTTCCTTACCTCAATCTCTCAGATGATTTATTGTCCAAGAAACAGATTAGGCTGACTGAGAGTCAGAGGATTACTGGTCTAAATTTAAAGAGTAAACAATGTCAGCCGTCTGCTTTAAAACCTGAAAGAAAATTCATAAACATGTCCTACTTTAATTCGAAATATTGACTGATAACAGTAACATTCAAATTGTGATAATTAAACATATACATGATGTAAATATAAAATTAGTTGTTTTTTTCATTCATATAAATTTCCATCACTCATGTCATGAAGTCTGACCACTGTACAAGAATTTCTGTTAATGTTTACATGTCTGCATCTACATTTTCCTTAGGCTTACATTATCCAGTGTAAACACGAGTCTTCCAATACTGATTGAGTGCAATTTCGACAGCAGGTTTTAAATTTATTCGTGTGTGTTTTCTGAATTGATGGACCTGGAGTGATGTAAAGGCTCGGCGTTGTTGAGTAATACAAGTGTAACCTTCAGTCGGCGGCTACACGCCGTCCCTTATCACGTGCAGAATGTTTCGATCTTCCTCTCAACCAAACTACAGAATTACGTCAGTTTTGACTACACCGAGGATTGGTCGTGTAAAGGCAAGCGTGTAAGAACAGGAGCTGCGATTGGTCGAATGAGACAGCCTCGCTCTGCAGGTCTCTCAGCGTGGACATTGAGTGAAGATGGCGACCCGGTGTGTGCGTGCGATCAGACAGAGCTCTTCTATCATAGCGTCCCCTTCAGTTGTAAGGTAGGTTTTCGTAGCACTGTTATTGTGTGTAGTTGATGTCCATGCTTGGGTAAATATTTTGCTTTTAGAAAAATGAATGATCTTTCTGTTGCGTGAGCTGTTCACTAATGAATGATTGATGCTGAAGGACCCTCAGTGTTATATGCCTTCACGTGACAGTGTTTAGACAGCATTGTCTTTTTGTCCTGTCAGATACTTTGCAGATTAGTTACATGGGATTACAGTTGCTTCTCAGTGAAATTTCTGTTGTCTTTCAGCTACCATACCATTGCATATTACATACAGAACGTTTTTCCATTGAGTTCAGGATTTTGGTTTCAATCTCCTTAAGCCTTTGAAAATAGTTTCCCCGAGTTGGCATGGCAATGAAAGACTTGTTTCCAACACGTGCTAGTGTTAAAACTAAAAGTTACTGAAGTGTATACTAGCTGTACTGCCACTGTTTCACTTCATGATTAGTGTAGACCAGTGGTTCTCAAACCTGTCCTGGAGTACCCCCTGCCCAGCACATTTTGTATGTCTCTCTCATCTATCACACCTGATTCAACTCGTCAGCTCATTAGTGGAGACTGCAAGACCTGAAGTGGGTGTGTCAGATATAGGGAGACATACAAAACGTGCAGTGCTGGGGGTACTTCATGGAGAGCTTTGAGAACCCCTGGTGTAAACGATCTCTTAACCAGTTGCAGACCTAGTTTGATATGTCAAGGTATCTAGAATCCCATGTCATTTAAATATATCCTACAATAAATTAACCAGTTTAAGGTTAAATTCTTTACATGCTCAAAAGTAAAACTTACATCACCCATTCAGGTTTGACTGTTACCCATAAAGAAGCAGTTATTTTTAAATTAACTAGTTTATTATAGAACTTGTTTTTTTTTATGTTTTTTTTTTTTTTACTGGTCTTTACATACAATGATTGTTCATAACGACAATGTCTGTTAAAGTCAGCATGAAATGAAAATTCACTAATAATATTACTGTTACTATTTTTTAAATGCATATCATAGATCTTGTCAATCTTGATTCATCACTCGTTTAATTTATTATTATTATTATTATTTTTTTTTTTAAATATAACTGGATCTTCTGATGAAAATGACAGACTTCTCCATTTTTGAGTGCCTGCCACACTCAATCATCTGTTACATTTGGATGTACGTCACAGTACGGAAGGAATAGTTTACTTCCATTTCATCACAACTTCAAGTTTCAAAAAGGATAAAAGACACACACACTAGGGGATATGCCGGTATCAGATTTTCATGTTGCGATTAATTGCTAATGCTTTTATCACGGTGTGCGGTATTATCACGATATTTAAATTTAGTTTTAAAAAAGTGCTTTCATAATACAGTATAACAGGTTTAATAACTTTTCTTATAACAAAAATAACTGAACATTTATATGCAATAAAGCAATACAGAAAAATGTATAAAGTTAAAAGTTTTACACAGATTAAAGTGCAAAAGAACTATAAAGACCAATAGGTATCACTTTACAATAAGACCTCATTAGTTAACCTTAGTTAATGCATTAACATTCACAATGAGCAATAGCTACATTTGCTACAGAAGTTATTAATCTTTAAAAAAATACAAGTCTTAGTTCATGTTAGCTCATTA